ATCATGTGTTCGATGAAAGGAGGAGAACGGGCAATGGGGAGGACGTTGGATTTTTGATAATTGATTGGTATGCAGTTGTCATTAGACCAGTTGCTGACGGTGTTGGTAATTCCATTGATTTGTAGAGCCAGGTTGAGGACAGAACTACCGGATGCTATGATGGTTAGGTCATCTGCATAGGCTGTGCAGGTATACGTTTCTGAAAGTTTTTTGAGAAGACTGTTCATGATTATGTTCCAGAGGGTAGGAGAGAGGACTCCCCCTTGTGGGCAGCCACGTCCCAGTGGATTGTGAATGATGTTGTGATGATCGGTGATTATGTGGATGTTTCTGTTGTTAAGATAGTGCGAGACGATAGATTTTAGATAAAAGGGACAATTTAGATTATTCATTTCGTTGAGAATTTTGCAGTGTGGTGCATTATCAAAAGCTCCTTTGAAATCGATGGAGATGATTGCTTTGTGCTTATGGTTTAAATTGTCGATATCGGTGATAATTTTGTTGAGAGCGGAGATTGACGATTTGTTGTTTCTGAATCCGTGTTGAGAATGATGAATGAGGTTGTTGGACTCAAGATGACGAACTAGAAAGATGTGTACGATTTTCTCATATAGTTTAGATAAGTGGGAGGTGAGGGAAATGGGTCTGTAGGAGGAGGGGGAGAAATGATCTGTTTTGTTGGGTTTTAAGATGATGCGTGTGTATGACGTGCGCCAGGTCGCTGGAAAATAACCGTACGAGAGACATTTTAACATTAACTGATGTAGTGCTGAGATCATTTGTGAAGGAAGGTGTTTGATCATGTTGTTGGTAATGTGATCAGGTCCTGGGGCTTTTTTTGGATTTAACTGATTTATGAGTAGTGTGAATTGGAATAGGGGAAAGGATAAAGGAGTGTTACTAGGGGGGAGAATAGGGGTGCAGAGTGTAGGATCAGAAGGGAAAAGGGAATTGGCGAGGGAAACGATCTCTTCTGGGGAACGATCGCTGGATAGAATAGGGGTGGTGTGTATTTTGTCTTTCAGCTTGTTCCTGATAAATTTGTATGTATTATTCCATACATTGGGGGATCTGTCCTCATTTTGAATGAAATTTTTCCAATCAGTCTCAGATTGTTGGGCTATAAGGGAGGTGAGCTTTTTTTTCAGATCGCAGTATTTTGTTCGGTAAATATTCTTTAGAATGGGATTAGTAGTTTTGTGTAGTTTGTTTTTGAAGCGTTTGGTGTCTTTGTGAAGGATACTGATTTCGTGTGTGCGGTAAATATTTCGCGTGTGTGTGTAAGGGTAGTGTTTTTTGATCGGGATTGTTTTGTAGGCGGTGTTGGTTATGATATTAGTGAGATTAATGACACAACTTTCTATGTTTTCATGTGTGGTTGCATTGTTGATGTCATTAATTAGAGAGGTGATTTCATTGTTGTCAAAATTTTCAGAAAAAACATTCCAGAGGAAGTTGTTTTCATTAAATTTCCAGGTGGAAGGTTGAGTAGAAAATATGGGTTTGGGGACATTGATTGAGAATGTTTGGGGTGTGTGGTCTGAATAGGTAGGGTGAGGAAGTTGCTGAAAATTCTGCGCGAAGCGGGTAGCGTTGGGGGAGAGAAGTGTAATGTCTATGTAACTGCTACGTCCGTCATTGTGTTGGTAAGTGGGGTTAGGTGTAGTGAGGACAGTGAGATCAAAATGATAGATCAGTTCAAAGATTTGGGAGCCTCTGGGAGAGTCGGCGCTACTGTTCCATAGAGTGTGGCTGCTGTTAGAGTCTCCACTGATGAAAATGGGTGTGTCGTTGTGTTGGGAGAGGATGTTTTCGATGTGTTGAAGATGACCGTCAATTCTGCAATTGGGGGGGAGATATACTGAGAGAATTAGAAATTCTTGTTGATTTGAGGTGACTTTAATCGCACAGATGTCGCCGGATTGTATTAGAATTTGTTCAAATTTTATTGCAGTATTAAAAATTGCAATGATTGCTCGTGGACGGTCTAGTGTGGGGGGGCGAACGACGTTAGCAGTGTGTAGGGAAGGGAAGAGATGGTTAACATAGGAGGGTTCTTGTAAGAGAGCAATGTCAAGGTTTGATTTTTGTACGAGATCAACAAGCTCTTTGGCAGCATTTGTACTGCGGTTAAGGTTCAGTTGTATTATTTTTACAGGGTCCATGAACGAAGGTTAGGGTGAGGAAGAGGAAGGCTGTGTATTAGGGGAGGGAGGGGTATTGTTAAGATTGTTGCTTGTTGATGTATCGGCAAGAGGGGGTTTATCAAAAAATTGAACTTTAGTGGAGTTGTCAAAGCATGTTCTATCCCACGTATTTTTGATTCTTTTACAGTAAAGAGGACAATGATCAGTTAATGCAGGATGATCTGCTGGCAAATTTTTCTCTGCGCAGTGGCAGCAATTGAAATATGAACAGTTTTTGATATGTATTGAAAATTCGGATTGTTGATTGTTTATACGCGAGGCCGAAAATGAAATGCCGCAATTTTTACATTTTTTATTACTCTGACTGGGACAGTCCTTTGTTCGGTGTTGAAAACTGAGGCATTTGCTACAGTGACCGAGAAGAAATATTTGTTCTGCATTGCACGCAGACCAACCAATAAACAAAGTACGTTGAAACAATAGTTCAAAAACATGAGGAGAAACACACAGTATCGCGTCAAAGTAGTGTCGTTTCTTGATTGTGAATAGAAGTTTGACGTGACTTCTGAGATCTTGCAGGTCATTTTGAGTGATAAGCTGGTTAATTATATCTGATTCGTTGGTCGAATAGTCGATATTTTTGAGTTTGATTGTTGGACATTTCGGTGTTGGTTCATATGCATCGATAGCTGTATTAAGATCAGTATTCTCACTCACACGTTTCAAAAATTTGTTTTTACTGTTCTCGTTGGAGAACTTGAAAGCAACGTTGGTTTTGTTTATTGAAATTTGATTACACATGATGTCACTTGCTGGAATGGAGTTGCATATAGCTTCTTTTGCTTGAGGTGGACTAAGCAAGTTATTTTTGGGTTTGACAAGGACAGTTTTATAGCATGTTTTTGGTGGATTCTGAGCAACAACATTGTACGGTGTGGACATGTTTACAGGAATTGATTCAAGTTTATCCAGGACTTTTTGAAGTTTCTCGTTGTTGTCAGTTTGAGTATCATTAAGCAAGGATCGGTAATTGTCAATTTGAGATTTCAAACTTTCGGTCACAGCCAAATATTTATCCAGTAGTTTTTGAGATTGAACAGCTAATTCTTTAGCAGGACCTGTGACTTCAGGATGAACACGCTGATGAGCATTTAGCGCTTTATTCATGTTTGTAATAGCTGACTCTACATTCTTAAGGAAGTTGTCCGCCATTTTACCGAGAAGATTGAACACAAAATAAAACACAAAAGCACAAAATATAGAGAGAGCAAGGCAACGAAAATTTTGAGGTGAGAGCAAAATAACACACGTCTTGACACTATCGTGGCTAAACAGCGAATGTGTGTGTGTGTGTGTATTCTGATCATGTTCATATATAAACAATTCCTGAATGGTAAATCTAGTTACTGTGTGTTTTTATATGAATGCATGAATGAATGACTGAATTGTGAATCTTTGAAAGTTTTTTTTCTTTTTCAAGAAAGGCAAAAAAATCTGAAATTTCCAAGAATTTTTTTTCAAGTGTAATTTTACAACAACAAAAGAAAGAAAGAAGAAGAGGAAAAAAATTCAAAAATTGCAGATTTTTTTTCTGTTCTGTTCTGTTCTGCAAAACGATTATTCAATACAGGAAAAACAAACTGGAAAACAACGAAATATTGAATGTTTTCAGCATCAGGCAATGGGAAAAAAAACGCAAGATAAACACAAATGAAAAATGTCATCAAAGAAATGAAAACTTTGGCTGTTTTTTTTTATATTTCCATTTGGTACCCGAAAAAAAAATTTTTCAACTTTAATAAACCAAAAATTATGAAAATTTTCAAAATAGCAATAGAAATCCATGAAACCAGAATCAAGATTACCACGACGACGACGACGACGACTACAATGATAATAATGATGATGATGATGAATAAATAAATAACAGACGTCATCAAAAAAATGATGAAATGAAAATCATAATTACATTTTAATATTATTTAGTTAGTTGAAAATCAAAATCAAAATCAAATGAAAATGAAAAATAAATTTTTTCTCACTCACACTCCCTCCCTCCCACCAAAGTAATGTCGTGGTAGTCAGCGTATTTAATTCATTCATTTCACACACTTTTCTTTTTTTTCTCTCTCTGAAAATTATTTCATTTCAACATTCATTCATTCATTCATTCAGGCGCAAAATTTCTCAATCAAAAAATCCTATAGAATGAAAAAAACAACGGAAAAGACTTTTTCTTCTTACTATACTTTTTTTTTTGCTCATTCACTGATTACATTTGATGATTTGCGAAAAAAAAACTCTGATGATTTTACGTTTTTTCTTTCTTTTTTTTTGTCATATAAAAACCAATGAACAAACGAACGAACGATCATCAGCATCATTTTCTTATGTAGTTTTTTTCTTGTTCCTGAATTAACACAGGATAGGATTCGATGGAATAGATTTGTCGTATGGAACAAATGAATGAATCAGTTGCAAAAAAAAAAAAAAAAAAAAACAGTACCATCAACAACAACAACAACAAAAATAGGACAATAATATTATCATAATATTAACAACATTCAGAAATTCTAATGAAAAGGAAGAAGAAGAAGAGAGAAAAAAAAAGGAAACAAATCTGACATTTTCGTTCAAATTATTATAATGATGATGTTGATTAGAATGATTATTATCAAACACCAAAAAAAAAATTTTGTTACACACACACACAAAATTTGCAACAGAAAATGGAATATAAATATATTCCTGATTGAATATATTCTGAATGAAATAAAATGAAATGAATGAAAGAAAAGGAAACAAAATACAAAATACAAAATGAATGAATGAATGAATGAAGCAAATCTAATTCATCAAACGATATTACTATTACTATTACTATTACAACGAACAAAACAAAACTAAACGTATATAAATTATTAGAATGCAAAGAAAACGGTGTGAATTCATAATAATAATAATAATAATAAAATGATTGAATTTTGTCAGTTTTTTTTCTGGTGTGAAGAGGTGTTTGTGTTAATATGATGTGATGAAATGGCAATAAAAAAAAAGAATATTCAATAAAATAAGAATAAGAATTTCTTGAAAGGTTGGCAATTCAGATCAAATATTCTGGTAACAGAATATTGTTATTGTTGAAATTTTTAAAATGAATAAAGTGTTCATTCAAACATGAAAAAAATAACAAGAATGTATAAGCAAGAAAGTATAAATTGTATAAGCTCCAGAAAAAAGAACATATCACATCATATAATATTTGATACACACACACACACACAGAGAATAAATTTGTCAAATTTTAAATTCATCATATTTCGGATTGTTGATTAAATGTTTGTATTTTTCATAATAATAATAATAATGGATATTGGAAATTTTGTTTTGTTTTGTTTGTTTGAATAATATTACAAGTGGATGGATTGTCCTTATTTCACCACAAATCGATTCACACATAAATTGCGTTTTATTATTATTATTCTAGCTCGCTCTCAAGGTCCCATTACACGAGCGCAATTGCCTCAAAGATTTCACTTGAGATGTGGGCGGAGCGAGATGGCCTCATCGGTCGGTCTCATTCGAGCTAT